AAAATCAGCTTAACCAAAGAAGACAGAGGTGCATAATTTGGCTGTAACTAAACGAATGTGTAAATCATGAATAACAAGCATAAAGGTTTCTAAAAAGCAATTACATAAGAAATATAAAAGAAAGAAGTATGCATTCAAGAGCACAGCTGTGAGGGAATATTTGAAGACACTGTTTCAATGTTTACATCTACACTCTCAACAAGGGTAGAAATGATAATAATTTTAACTAAAATTACACTTTGCAGGGGGACGGGAGAGGCTGTCAATAAAATGAATGAGTTACAATATTACAGAAACGTTCTTTTCACCTAGACTTACTGCCTCCAACAGTAAGATATACCTAAATCCAGGCCCTCTGGACATGGAAAAAAAAAATCTACAGGGCATTTTTTGCATATCACCATAATTTGATGGTCTGTGATTTCTCAAGAAAACAGAAATGTGAGAAACATGTTGACAGTACAGTCTAATTGCAGAATTCTTTTGACTATGGTGTAGTTGCTACTTGTGAGTACTGAATATAACTTCCCTCAACCTAAAGGAAAAGAAAATATTTTTGATGATGATGATGATGATGATTATTATTATTATTGTTATTATTGCTATAAAGTGAAACCCCTTTGCATCACTAAGCAATATGGAGTTAAAATTTGCATTATACACAGCTCTCCATGGCAGAATATTTGTGAACGTGTGTTCAAGAGGCAGATGCAGGTTTAATAAAGCCAGCATGACTTGAGAATAATTTGAAAAGATCTCTTCTATGATAACAACAATGTACAATGTATTCAGGCACAAATCATGTTGTAGCCCTCCGTGTGATAGCTACAATAAGACAAGGTCATCCTATGGACCATACCAGCTACTCTGAGCACAGCAGCAGCATCAGTGTAACATGTGTGATCCTCTGTCCTAACCCAGGATCACATGGCAACTTCCCCGCCTCAGGCTTCAGACCAGAATAACTCTGAAAAATTATACAAAGACAGCTGGACTTCAGAAATAATGAATGAAAAATAAAAGAGTCTTTTCCAATATCATCAGGTAGAAGAAAAAGCAAGCAAGCCATTAAAGATATATAACTATTGGGGGGAAAAGGCCACAAGACTGGGTTTTATAAACTCCTTTGTGGGTGGAACTTGATTGTTATTCTCATTTTAAATTTCCTGAACATCGAGAAGCATCTTCTGCTTTCAAACTTCATGCAATTGTGCTGACAAGACACCTTGAACAACAGGTACGTTGTTTATAATCACTGTCTTTCTTATCCTTGATGGAAGAATTTTACAAATCCTGAATTTCAGATGCTAATTAGCCATGCCCTGCTCACTTCACAATGTCAAACTGTTCCGCAACAAACTCTAGGACAGGCTGTTCCAGCTTCCTGACAAAAGGAGATGAGGTTATGCTGCTGGTGCTTGTTTAGAGGCCAGATGGCAAAACCATCTTGTAGTGTTATGGTAAGGTGAAAGATAACAGTAAGGCAGGACAGAACTGACCTGTGAGCAACCCATGGAGAGCTCTAACCATTTAAGAACAGAGATAAAAGTCTGGAAAACAGAAGTTTTCTGGTTTCTATTCTCAGATAAGTAAATGATATGCCATCTGGAAAAAAAATATTTAGGACAACGTTGTTGGTTACTTCTTCCCCCAGATTCCCTACCTACAAATACAGCTGCCTACACACACACAGCTACAGGAGCAAGGACTGAGTCTCAAAGATTTCATCAACATTTCAATGAATCTGAAACCCTTATTTCTGCAAAACAAACTGCAGTTGTAAGGAGCCTGGCCATATCCCTGTCACCATGTTTGCTCACAGGGGCCTCATGAGAATTCACTAGCTGGGACAGGAGTTCACACAAAAAGGTATTCAGCATGGCTCACAGCCCATCTATTTCTACTCCTATAATCATGAGGAACAAAGCTGGACCCTACATTTGCTTTTTTGCTTGATACAAGCATATGCAGAGCAGAGCATAAGCTAAGAAGATGATGCAAGGGACTCAGAAAGACATGCTGCAGATGCATCTTCTCTTACCTCCTGCCATACTCTGTCTCCAAAGAAACTTAGCCACTGCCTTGGAAGCAGTCTCTTCAACTTCCTTCTATTTGTATGCTTACTAAACACACATTTCTCTTTTTCCAGGGGGATAATAGCAGTGCTTGGCTTTTATCACACAGAGTCCCATCTTCAGCCTCCACTTTATACCCAGTCATTTCTGAAATGTGTCTTTTTTTCCTTCCAGCTGGCAGGCAATTTAAGTTCTGCACTGATTGGTGTCCATTTAAGACAATTTTCCTCTGATTTTTCTCTTTCCGCTCTCTGCACTGCCCAGATCTGCCAGGTTTCATCCACCTCACCTAAGTTCGGGAGCATTGCCTGATGTGTTACCAGATGCAGCTCAAAACCAGCCCATAGAGTAACATTGCTCTGGATCTCCACCACCTTTTTGCCCATGCTGCTTGCCCAGACAGATCTGCTTCAGATGAAATGCTAATGCAATTCTTGCCAAAAAGATATTCCCCTGTTTTTTTTCCAATTTAGCAAAAAGACATAGAAAATATTGATGGTTTTAGTCTTCCTGGAATTTTCTCACACCCTTTCTAGGAATAAGAAAGGATATCTTTTTGCAATCCCATTATTACACATGTGCATGTTTATAAGAAAATGCTCTAAAGGGACATCAAGCAAATAATACCAATTTTCAAAATTCTATAGCAATGTATTTATACAAATTACAGAATTCTGTATGTATTTACACACCATTACAGAATATCAAGTAAATAACACCAATTGTTCTTCTGTTTTTCCCTCAGATTTCTCTTCAAGTGAATTTTGGTGCTTGAGAAAGGTGCCAGATGGACAGCACTAGCAAATGAAGACTCCTGTTTGTCCAGGGCACAGGAGGAGCAGCACTGCAAGCCTCCCTGCTCTGCCATGTCAGCTCTCTCCAGCCCTGTTTTAGCAGGATCACGTAAGGAGCGGGAGGGCATCCGTACCCCTCCACGCCTTGGCGAAGGAGCTAAGCAGCACCCCGGTGACGATGGCTTTGCCCATCCCCCGCCAGAAAACAAACAGAAATAACCCATTTTACACAAGTGACTGAACAGAATCTGTTGTTCGCTACCCAAAACAGGCTGAATTTGACCCAGTGAACCTGCAGGGAGTGGCAAACTGCCAGCTCCTGGACCATCCAGTCTCGCAATAATGCCTATGTTAAATTACAGGTTTCTATATTTACATAAAGTCAGTATTTACACACCATTATGGGTTATTTGAGTAAATCGGTTACAGTTTATTTATATGGACTGCCATAAACTCATAACATTTTTCTTGGGTTTAATCCTTTCTTTAGAAAAATACAAAAAAAATAAATTAAATAAAACATGTTAACTAGTAGTAATGATTTGCCTATGACTAAAAATCCAAGTTGATTTAACATTAAGACTCAAACCATGGCCTAGTATCGCGGCCTCAACTCATAGCACTTTTAACCTTTGCAGTTATTTTCCCGATGTATGTCAGATTCACTGGAAAAGCAGAGTTGTAACCTCCCTTCCTGGTGGTCGGATTGATCTGTTTAACACTGAGCAATGAACCCTAGTCCTCCCCAGAAGCTTGCTTTCTTCTCCTACGGTCCAGCACGGCTCTGCGCCACCCAGACAAATGGTTCAGCAAAGTCCCTAGACAAGTGTCCCTTAGACAAGTGTGGCTAACTGTATCCTAGAAATCAACTAACGTAATTTACGTATCTTTATCATTCATAAACAATTATAATAAAATGCCACATTTTCTTTAAGATTACTGATATCGTCAGTTGAAATGTGGCCCCTCCTACCTGCTCGAGTACAGAAAAGTCACGTTTGCTCAGGACAGCAAGCCAGAGGTTATTCCAGAACAGAATTACGTTTCAAATTATATATACCACATGGACAAGAGTGCCTCAGAGCAAAAAATCACTTAATTACAAAAGGGCTACAAACTTATGCATAGCTCCTCCAAAGCCTGTCTGCGCTCAGCCTCCCTGCCTCTGGGACAGCCGGGGGAGTCAGGACCAGCCACTCTCCCAACAGATCCAACGGCAAAGGCTACGCTCAACGGCACCGAATTCAAATCCTAAGGGATAAAACAACTACAAAATGTATTTGTCGTATGGACCTTACATGATTTTTCTTTTTTTTTTTCCCTTTAGGGTCCTGGGGAAAAAAATGCCTCTTTCTAAGGGTTAATTCCCAAATGGTAACTTCCAATCAACACGTTTGTGTGCTTAACATAAAATGCTATAATTCCTTAAATATTACATACTGTCATCTCATGAATATTTGAATGTATTTTAGGAAAAAAAAAAAAAAACAAATCTAATACTGTCCCCCTCATTGTTATTATTGATAGAGATTTATTAGTTTCATTTTGCAAGTTTTACTTTAGGAAGGGTGCTAATATCATGTATTATGACAGTTCACACTGAAAGCAATTTTCCATAAAAGATGTTACAATGACCCCTATGGAACTCGTATATTTTCATAGTAGATAGTCAAGTGCACAAATAAACATGTTTACAAGAGTGATCCTGTTAACCTGGTTCTTGCCCTCTGAAACCATCATGTGCTATTTGTGGAATTGTAAAATTAGTACAATTGTTGATATTACTTATGTTGTTTCTGGCATTCTGCTTTAGGAAAAAAAAAAAAAAAAAGAAAAGCATATTTATCATTTAGCTTTGGTATAATCTGCAATAGGTTTTAACAAGTAGAATATATTCCAACCCCTATATTTTCCACAGCTGTGAAGTTTACAATGATGTAAGAAGTCACTTTATCAGAGAGGAAATATTACAGACACAGGAAAAATAGTTGAAGACCCAGTTTTTCTCTTTAATCCTCTGGGGGTAAGCTATGAAACAAGCAGTCAGAAGAGTGAGGACTCAGTGTCATGAGTGGTGTGCATACTTGTACAATAAAACGGGCACAAAAGAGATTGTCGCCTTTAGTACATGAGGGTCACTAGAATTTATTGTTATTATTATTACCTTTTTATTGGTTGTTTGTTTTTTTTTTTTTTATCCATGCACCTTTATATTTACTTGCATGAATTTACCACAGGTTCATAGTGGCCTTTGCCATTTTAATGCTTACAGAGCCTAAAGCTTCCAAAATGCCTATCTGGCCTGTACATATTTCATTAAAAATAAACTCTATATAATAAATAAATATATAAAATAAATAAAATGTTGCCTTTGGAATTTCTATAAATAAATTTAACTTTTTATTTTTATTTTTTTACTAAGAGGTCTTTGCTTTAAACTCAGTGGGGTGAGACCCAGAGAGCGATTAACTGAAAAGTCTCTTGTTTAAGTAAGACTGCACCCTCCATGCCTTTGTAAATGCAGCGTACACTTGAGCAGGCCACCAGCCAAAAATCCTGATGAATCAAAGTATGGCAGCTATGCTGATATATGACGAAGTACAACTGATCAAAAATTTAAAAGCGTGTCTATTCCCCAGCATGCATCAGGCCTTCCTCCTCCTCCTCCTCCCCTTGGCTTCTCTCTCTCGCGCTCTCACTCCCATTCATCCTCTCCCTTTCTCTCTCTCTCTCGCACTCATTCTCTCGCGCTCCCTCTCGTACTAAATCAAGCGAGTGGGCATAGGCTCTCCTCCAGGAGGACAAACCTTTAAGTGCAGAACAAAATCAGCATGTTCCATCCAAGCCTCCATCATACATTATGCATGCGACAAAGTTTGGCAACAGTGGAGCTGATGTGATGACACAGCTAATCAATAAGAACCCACCGCATGAAACCTTTATAGTGGTTACTTTTTAAGGGCTCAAGTGAAGGAATTGTCTTTGTCAACTTTGGCTTAAAATATCCTTATATAGTTCCGGTACTTTCTCAGGGTCCACTGGTCTAGGTAAAAAATGTGTAAATTTTTGATGCCGTTTAGTCCTAGTCCCTTCTCTTGGAGTCCCATCTTTATTTAACGCAACGTAGTATCGTCTTCCAGTGTCCACGTGTTTATATAGATTTGATGAATATGTGTTATACCAGTTTTCTTCAAACTGCTCTCTGAATACACACTCCTGGGTTAATTTTTCCTATGGAAAGAAAAGAAAAGAAAAAGCTGTAAGAAGGTAGATAGACACAAAAATTATTTTTAAAATATTTTATAGTTTCTATTATATTGTATACAATAAATAATTGTAAACATTTTTAAAAATAATTACTATTTTCAGGGCTTGAAATCAGTATCTCCCTTCTCAATTTGCAAAATGAACCAATTCAATACTCCCAGTTTCAGCTAAGTAAATGTATTGCTGGGTATTTCATGAAGCAGCCACATGGGCGGATAACTCTACGTGAAGCCAAAATGATTCTCCAAAAGCCTTGTTGCCCAAATCAAAACAGCAATGGGGCTTTGAGCAACCTGGACACAGAAGGTGTCCCTGCCCTTGGTAGAGGGCTTGGAACTAGATGATCTTTGAGGTCCCTTCCAACCCAAACCATTCTAGGATTCTAAAACTAAAACCAGGTATTTTAATTTCTGATCATTCTCAAGCAGCTCACAAGATACTACTGGACTTATATAACTAATTCAAACCAAAAGACATAAATAAAGAAAACTAGAACTGGTTTGCAGGGCTGAAATACAATTTAGGGCCTTAAAATCTCTATGTCTTTTCATTGCATAGAGAACTCAATGTATTTCACTAATTAAAAAATTGGTTGATATGTGTGCTATTCAAATGAGAATTCTTGTTATGAAAAAATGTATTAAAATACCATTTTTTTGGTGCCAGCTGCAAAGACTTATTTTTCCCAGTTTTCCATCAAATGGACATTTACTGCCCTTCATTTGGTTCATTATTTGTGTCACAGAACCACAACCCAAGACAGCTTCAACCAGCAGCGTTAACCCCACATGCTGAGATGAAGTTCGGCAAGGAAACTTCTCCAGGCTTGCTTTACTAGGGTTGTCCTTGTGTCTTGTCCTACTGACAGGACCCACTGAAGAATCATAGAATGTGTTGGGTTGGAAGGGACCTTTAAAGGTCATTTAGTCCAACCCCTCTGCAATGAGCAGGGACATCTTCAACTAGATCAGATTGCTGAGAGCCCCATCCAACCTGACTTGAATGCTTCCAGGGATAGGGCATCTACCACCTCTCTGAGCAGCCTGTGCCAGTGTTTCACCACCCTCACTGTAAAAAATTTCTTCCTTGCATCTAGCCTAAATCTTCCCTTTTTTAGTTTAAAGACATTAAAGACATCAACCCTTCATCAGATTCCCCTGCCACAGACTCCTACTCCTTCCAGTACACCCACTTATTCAGTCTGTGTGTACTCTTCTACATCATTTTGGTCTAAATAGATGTGGTTTGTTTAAAAAGCAGCCACCTGGTAATCGGATTCATTTTAGGAAGGACTCACACAAGTGACGGAGCAAGAAGGCTGGAAAAAAGGTGGTGAGCTCTAGCATGGGAGAACTGACGGAAAGCTGGGAAAAAAATGACTTTGCAGCTGACACCAAAAAAAATTATAATGATAATTTAATACATTTTTTCATAACAAGAGTTCTCACTTGAATAGCACTCACATCAATGAAACTCAGCTTCTAGGTGAGAATAATTTTCTAATTATTACAAAGCTCCACACAACACAGACTTCTCTGCATGTGTTCTATAGACATTAAATCTTAAAACAGTCCTTTTAGATAGATACACAGAAAAGGGAAAACAGAAACCAAGGCCCAAATGCAGCAAAGCATTTACAGCACCTAAGCTATAAATGTGTGCCTGAACAGAACTAGGGAGCCACATCTCAAGCTCCAGGGCCTCCAAGAAGCCACCATCCATGGCTTAACCCAGGAGACTCCCAAAACCAGCCACCACCACCAGAGCTTGCACCTTGCCCTGGGGCCACCTCTGCTGCTCAGGACTCACCTCACAGCCCTTTCCCAAAACAACATGCTTCAACCTACATGTTGTGCAGCTACTTTGCGTGGCTGCTCAAGGGGTAGAGCTCTGCAGCCCTCGGGTGGCTGGGGACCAGCCAGGTCCAAGGAACCCTACACACCTTACAGGAGTCACCCAAGAACCATCCCACATGGGTAAAGCAACCCCTGCAGCAAGTGGGGAGGACAAGCCAGCCACCCTCTGCACCCCTTGCAACCCCTGGCTGCAAAACCAGGGTGCTCCTCAGCGACTAAAGGTTTGGGATTTGGAAGTTTCTTCTAAATGCAACCTCTGGCAACTCCAGTAGGAAAGAAAGGCAGCAAGTAAGCAGCTCCTGACTTCGCCTTTGAAAGGCATTGGGAACCTCATCACCCCTCAGGAAGCAGAAATCCCCAACAGGACCAGCTTCAGATGTTAAACACTTGAGTATTCACTACGCCAGCAGCCACGTCCCTGCGTGGACCTGGGTGGTTGTGGCTTGCACAGTGGCAGGAGGAGCCTGTGGCAGAGAAGTGAGCAGTCCCATCTCTGGCACCCTCTTCTGCAGTTCGACCAGGAGACTTCCCTCCCTGTGGCTCCAGCAGAGCTGTGCCTGTAGAATCACGAGCACGTGCACAGGCCGGCTGTTTATAACAATTTATTTTAGAGGCGTTTCTGACATTTTTAATGTGCAAGGCAGCTCAAACACAGCAACACTGCACACTGGTTACGGGGAAAAGAAGCACAAATCTGTTTACAGTAAATCCTTACCTATGGGCCGGACCCTGCAACCTCCTATAGATAATTGCCTGTATGTCCTTTCACAGCTAGAAACTGCAGCAAACATTACAAACATTACAGCAGAATACTTCAGCAGCAGCTGAAAGTTACACACCTTGCAGTAGCCCCCTTGTACAGTGTACAAACTATTATAAAAACTATTCAGCTGCTATAAAGATTGTCTTTACTCACAGCTTTCATTAGTGTTTTATTTTGCATGTGGCTTAAAATCACTTTGTTTGCTTTAAGGCAGAAGCAGATGCTAAGAGGTATTATACGCTGGGCCTATAGGTCCACCGGGAAAGAGAAACTAATTCAAATTGTTTTCCTGCTCTCAGAAGGCAATAGGATCACATGACAAGCACTGCAGAAGCACTCCCTGCTAAAAATAGCAACATTTTAGGAAGATATTTCAGTCCTGTCTTGAATTCATTAATTATTCACTCCATCTGCATTTTTTTTAGCATCATCATAAATTTCTATCTTTACAAGAACAGTACTTCCCCATGCCCTGAAGGAGAAATTTTAAAATAGTCTCTCTTTATCTGGCAGGTTTGATGGATCATGACAGTGCTGTGGTACACTTAACCAGCAGACCCTGAATGAGGGCGTTTGCAATGCACCGCGCTCTGGGGTAGTTCAATGCATTTCAAGCTTACAAATTCAATCTTTATTTTACAAGCTTATCCTGTTTTTAGTTTTCATCCTCTTACAACACAGCTACATCTTGTTTGTCCTTCAGCAAAATTCTCAGAAATTCACGTGTAGACAGTAGGCAAATACTTCAATATGAACTTGACAGAACAATCGGGACACAGGTTCAGATATGTAAGGGGCACCAACAATCACACTTTCCAACAAGTGAAATAATTTCTTTATAAATTCACCAAACCATTTCCTTCTAGGACACCTAGAAATTCCAGTTATAGTCAGAGACCCCTGGAGTAAACTGGTGTCTGTGATTTTGGATAAGGCCTTTTAAATAATGTGGGTACCAAAATCCCAGCATATCCTTCTGCCCATGCCCGGGAGATCCTTGCAATTGCGGCTAATATAGTACAACAACAGACAGAAAACAATATCCTCTAGGATAGTCATCTATGTAGAACTATAGAATCACAGAATAATTTAGATTCGAAAAGACCTTTAAGATCACTGAGCCCAACCATTAACCTAACACTGCCAAGTCCACCACTAACCACACTACTTAACGCTAGCTGACACTCATGTTTTGAGTGCACATGCCATTATTCAAGCCAGAAATGAGCATAATACAGGGGTGAGGCTGGTCCATTCTGCCAACAAGCACCTTCTTGCCTCACCAGCTCAGGATGGGAAAGTCTTGCTGAAAGCCAACTCTCCCAGTGTGGGAATGAGATGGTGTTTTGTGATCACAAGTGGCTTACGTTTCCCCTTCTGGCTATGACTTCTAGAAAGTCCCTGTATGCACAATTGAAAAGCAAGATACAGCCCTAGAATACAGCATTTTTTGCATACTTTTATTCTAGCAACTGACTTCACTATCGTTTTTCCAGTGCCAATATTTCCTTGCACCATACTTAATGTCACTAGACATCTCTGTCGACGGCTGACACAAATACCAAACATACCCAACTGGAACAGCTATGGAAAGTAACCTGCATTCCTGTGAAAGGGGAGGCTGCCTGCCTTAATCAAATCATTAAATTCAGGGGCCAAATAAGGAGGTGACCTGAAAATTATATAAATTAGATGTTGCACCACACACCACATGTTTTCTGTGAGGACTGTTTGTGGAGTATTCCACTAGAAAGTGATTGATTCTTATTTTACCACATTTCCACACATTACCGGCAGGGTTTTTTAACCTGTTATTTAACTTGGAACATACAAATAATTGAACTGTGCAAAGATGCACATATCACAAGGGTGGAAACCCAAGGCAGATTTAATTCAGATCTCTGCTAATGCTGGTTACTGTTAGCAAGCCCAGAATCCCTTTCCTTTTCTACATTCTCCACCATCTAACCAGGGAGAAAAATAATTATGTTATCCTATTCCAGGTAGATTGATTAAAAGTGAGATTGTAAATTAATAAAGTAGATAGTTACAGCCATCACAATGAAGGATTTTCCCAACTTGTTTAAAAAAAGATATCCCTGTTAAGCAGCTAATTGGAAATAAGTGGAAATAAGCAAAATAGATGTACGCTGCCCAGAGAATGGTTTCATGACTGTAAAGAAGGGTGAGACATTTGTGCTGCCTAGTAGTCGAAAGCACAATATAGGTGCTGTATAAAGCATATCAATATTCTTTTTTTCTTTTAAACAACCATACAGAGCTAAAAGTCCAATTTATTTCGTAACCTGACCATCATTCCTAACATCACAAGAAATACACTTCAT